CCAGAGCCACTGCACATTGACACACCAGGGTTCTGCCCCTATGAGACCGCGTCCAGCTCCAAAAGAGCTGCCCTGCGGGGCCTCAGGTTCCGGTTTGGCCACTCTGTTCATGGTCCCTGCTGTGCCAGTCAGTGGGAGTCAGTGTTGGGACGCTCAGACTTGGGGGCTTGCTTGCTTTCCCTGCTTCCGGGTGGGAGCTCCTCAGGGGGCCTCATGGTTTGTTCTTCTGTCATTGTGCTGAAAATATGCTGCTTAGTTTCATTCAGTCCTTGGTTTCCAAGTTTTGATCATTGTTTATAGTCTTTTGGGTTCAAGGAAGATACACCCCAGGTTTTTCCCTATTACACTTATCTTAAGATTTCTTTCTCTGGAGACATTGGTAGAGGGAAGGTCACACTGGTGGTGTCGGAACACAAAATGACTGAAACAACTGTATTATGAACAACTTTGTAAATCGTGGTGTTTTAATAACAAATTTTAATAAAAGTGTTTCTCCATTAGAATTTACATGCAGCAGTGCTGGAGTGATAGTACAGCTGGTAAGGCACTTGGCTTGCTCACGTGATGAACCCTAGTTCAATCCCCGGCACCCCATTCGGTTCCCTAAGCCTCCCTCTCCCGCTCCAGCCCTCAAAGTGATCCCTGAGCAGAGACATGGGATAAGCCCTGAGTACAGCCAGGTGTGACACCTCCCACAGTGAATTTACAACAGAAGGGGAGTTCGGGATTTCTTCTGATTTATCCCAGTGTCTAGAAGCGTGATACTACACTTGATCTTAGCCAAAAGCGATAGCACAGCGGTAGGGCGTTTGCCTTGCACGCAGCCAACATGGCCATCCCGAGTTCGATTCTCCGCCCCTCTTGGAGAGCCCGGCAAGCTACCGAGAGTATCTCGCCCGCACAGCAGAGCCTGACAAGCTCCCCGTGATGTATTCGATATGCCAGACACAGTAACAACAAAGTCTCCAATGGAGACGTTACTGGGCCCGCTCGAGCAAATCGATGATCAACGGGAGGGCCTTTACCTTTACCTTTACCTTTACCTAGAAGCGTGCTTGGCATGGAGAAGCTGCTTACTGGATGCTTGAGAAAACAGATTACTCGGTGTTCAGACCTCTGGGAACTTAGGCTTCTGGCCCGACTGAACGCTGTTAGCCAGCTTGACGTCAAGAGGTGGGAGGGAGGGAGGAAGGAGGCTGGAAGGTGGTTGGACAGGCTGGGGTCTCCGTGGCCGGGCGGCAGGGGACGCTTGCTGCCTGTCTCACCCATTTACTCCCAGGGGTGTGAGTGGGGAAACCACCTCTTCTGCTGTGGCAGTGCCAGCCGTGGGGCCCGTCAGTGATGCCCCACGGGCTCTGCCCCTCTGTCTCCTCTCAGTCTTTCCCCGTGATCTGTCCTGGAAGCCATGTTGTCATTTACCTTCCTCTGTCAAGCGAAAGGGCCGGCGTACTGCAGGGCACACAGGGTCCCAGCGTGCCTGTAGGCACATTGGTTTTGGCTTGGTGGCGTCAGCCTTGAGGTGGCTGCCATCTGGCAGTCATGAAGCACCCGGCAATGGCTTAAGGAGCCTGGGGAGCTCGAGAAGGTCCCTGAAGAGCTAGGACAGTGTGGCCAGCTTGTTTGGGGCAGGAAGGGGACACTGCAGCTGAGCTCAGCAGCCCCCTAAGGCCAGGGCAGCTTATCGCTCTGTCCGAGGAGGAGGAAGTCGGAGGGGTCTCGGGGAAGGATGCCTAAAACTGGCGGTGGTCCTGGGGACTTTTGTGGTGTGTCTCCCTGGATGGGCCAGGGGTTCAAGGCTCGGCTCGGCTCGGCTCCCACGGTTCGTTCACAGGCAGGCATGCCGGGTCGCCCTGCCTGAGCCGCAGCCCTGTGACCTCTGCTCCCCCGAGGGAAGGATGGGCTGCTGCCTGGGAAGGGTCTCCTGCAGGTGCTGGTCATTATTGTCTCTTCGTGGAAACAGCGGGAACTTCGCGAACTCGCCACCTTCTGGTTGCGGCTTCATTGATTCTCCCCTGAGGAGAGGGCTAGGAATGCCGCCTTTCCTTGCCTGGGCCTCAGCTCTGCTTCTCCCAGCGCTGCTTGGAGTCTGCTTTGCAGTTAAAAGCTGATTCAGCTTGTTGGGTGATTTATGCCTTTCAGATACAAAGGAGGATACAGACCAGCCATTTTCAAGATACGCACTGATACCTTTTTTGTTCGGTTTTGAGTTGGGTTTTTTTCGGGGGGGGGGGGGAGTGAGCCACACCAGGTGGTGCTCAGGGCTTACTCTGGCTCTGTACTTGAGGATCATTCCCGGTGGGGTTCCAGAGATCACAGGGGGTGCCACAGATCCCTGGGGCCCCCTCAGTGCAGGGTGGTGGGATTTGGAGGAACACTGTTTCCTGGGGAAACTCTTGCAGGGCTCTCAGGGCCCCTGTTCTAATCTCCTCTAATGAAAATTGTGGGCGACAAACGGTGGGTGGTTGCGAAGGGCACAGAATCGAACCTGAGCCTGGCTTTGCTGCTCTGAGCAGTAGCTGGTCCAAGGACGTAGAGTCTGGCGTGCAGAGGCGGGCGGCGCAAGTTTATTAATGTGGCCGTGCATGGGTCAGTGCATCGAGGTAGGGAAGCTGCGCAGTCTGTCTCTGGGCTGTGCTGGGAGGCTCCTGCTCTCCGCAGATTAGTCCGCTCTGGGAAGTGGATGAGGCGAGGCGTCGCCAGTTCCGGGAAGGGAGGGCCATGCGTGCACCCTCTGAGCCACTCAGGAGAGGTGAGTGCAATGGGCGTGGACTGTGGACGCCGGTCCCGGGAAGAGCGTGGCTGGGGCCCCTTCGAGGAACAGAGCCACGGTCCCGAGTGGCAGGGAGGCCTCTGGAGTACTCTGGGCATGGCCGATTGTGTTCGCAGGGACTGTCTCGGCCCTTGGGCATTGGAGATAGAGGAGTTGAGCTAGGCCTTCATCGCAGGGCTGTTGGACCCTGTAGTTCAGGACTCGGGGCTCTGGGAGTACACAGGTTCCGTTAGGCTAGCGATTCTGGGAGTCCAGAACATTTTTTAATGCTTAAAAGCATTGCTAGGCCTCAGTGAATGAGGGGTTTTTCTACCTTCGGGGAGCTTTTAAGCCTCTTGTTAACATATTTTCAGATGACCCTCTTTATTTTTTTTCCTTTTTTTCTTTTTGGGCCACACCCGGCGATGCTCAGGAGTTTCTTGGCTTTGCACTCAGGAATCACTCCTGGCGGTGCTCGGGGGACCATATGGGATGCTGGGAATCGAACCCAGGTCGGCCGCGTGCAAGGCAGACTTTCTACCCGCTGTGCTATTGCTCCAGCCCCGAGTTGACCCTCTTTAAACGGCTGCCTTCTGAGGATCTGGGCTGTCCCTCCCCGGGTCCCCACCCACCCGGAAGACTGGCTGTCATGCCCCCAATTTGCCTCCAGACACCATCTTGGCGCACTGACAGCCCTGGCCCCGAGACTCCCAATTGAAGCCCAAAATGGGTTAGTGCCATACAGAGATGTCTCTGGAATCCAACCATTTACGATCTAGAAATTTACATTGACAGTCACAGCCGCACAAGCTCTCGTGATATTCAAAATGAGCTATGGAAAATGTATTATCTAGTGCCTGCATACCCTGGCAGGTATGCTTGAATGGTGGTTGGGAAATTTAGCAAAATACAATGCCCAAAATTAGAGCGAGAATGTTGGGGAAATTGTCTGCCATGGAGGCAGGGTGAGGACTGATGTGTATGTGTGGGGCGGGTGAGTGATACTTGGAACATTGGAGGTGGAAAATGTGCACTGGTGGAGGGGTGGGTGTTCCGTCATTGTGTGGCTGAATCTCAAACGTGAAAGTTCTGTAACTATCTCATGGTGATACAATAAAATAAAGTTGGGGCTGGAGCGATAGCACAGCAGGGCGAGTGTTTCTCTTGCACACAGCCAACCCGGGTTCGATTCCCAGCATCTCATAGGGTCCCCTGAGCACCGCCAGGAGTAATTCCTGAGTGCAGTGCCAGGAGTAACCCCTGTGCATCGCCGGGTGTGACCCAAAAAGCAAAAAATTAAAAAAAGTAATGTGGAGTTCGTGCCCAATTCAATCAGCTTAATCAGTGGATGAACAAATAGCAGTACTCCTACATTATTTTTTTTAAAAAGAAAAAAAAGGCTGCCTTCCTAAACAGCCATGTAAAAAAAAAAAAAGAAAGAAACAGAACCATGCCTGTAATGCTGATTTCTTAATCAAGTGACTAGTCAGATTTCAAGGCCCCCAGAGAAAATGAGTTGAGACAAAGTTGGGGTTTGGGGTTTTTTTTTTTGCTTTTTGGGTCACACTCAGCGATGCACAGGAGTTACTCCTGGTTCATGCACTCAGGAATTACTCCTGGCAGTGCTTGGGGGACCATATGGGATGCTTGGAATCGAACCGAGGTCGGCTGCGTGCAGGGCAAACTCCCTGCCTGCTGTGCTATTGCTCCAGCCCCGAGACAGTTTTTCAGAGTTTTTCGTTTCCCTCGGGCCTGGTGAGGGCACAGCAGGGAGGGCACTTGCCTTGCCTGTGGCTGACCAGAGTTTGATCCCTGGCATCTTACACGGAATACGTCCTGAGCATTGCCGGGGATGGCCCCAGAATACAGAAACAAAGAAGAGTTCACTTAAAAACTTAAAAAACTGGAAAGGTGGCTCAGGGCTGGCACACACCAGGCCTAGTCCCCCAGACTCTGCTGGTGTGACCCAAAAAAACAAAGACAAAAGAGGTTTGTGGACAGTACACAGTATGCTTGGCCAGTAATATTTGTTATTGTCACATAACTGTTTGATGCATAATAGTTTAAATTCCTCCCTCATTACAGTAGGTAACCTGTCTGCTTTTTTGAAATTGCCCAGATGGTAATTAAAGGAATGTTTCCTAAGCTCAGTACTTTGATTTCTTAGAGTGGACTTTTAGTAAGAGGGTAGAATTAAGTTTGCTTGCCTCCATAACGCTGCTCTGAACTGAGCTGTCACTCTCTCTTACAGGGAAATCCTCGTTGACGATTCAGTTTGTTGAAGGCCAGTTTGTGGACTCCTATGATCCAACCATAGAGAACAGTGAGTATTGTCTGCCGCCCTCCCCAGCCAGACTGCGGCCTTGGTCCCAGAGGCAGTGGTGAGGCTCCCACTTGATACAGAGTGATTTTTCTTCTTCTGGCACCAGACTCCAGTGTCTAGAAATTGTGGTTCTGAATTCTGAGCTCCTTGGACTCTATGCAGTCCTTGTTCGGGGGAGCGGGGTCAGGGCTTCCCGGCACTGCCTGCTCTCCCCACAGCAGCCCTTTCTGTGGTCTCAAGCTGGAGAGGGTGTGAACACTTCGGGCCCTCTGAGCTGCACTCCAGTGGAAGCAGGAGTCCCCAAGCTCCCTTCCCAGAAGGTCAGTTGCTGCATTAAGAAGAGAAAGTCGGCTCCAAAGGCCTTGGCCTTTCAGGCTGTGTGCAGAAAAAAAGGGCACGCACTAGAGACCAGGGTCAGGCTGGCCCTTGCGTCATCCAGGTCTAATTGATAGTTCCACAGTGTCCGGAATGATTCTAGAATCTTTTTGAAGGACCAGGAGCCCTATTTTGGTTCTCGGCACCCCAAGGGAGAATCTGAAGCAGCACGTCTACTCGATGAAGCCGTTTGTGGGAAGCCACAAACTCTTTGACAGCAGGACTCTGCTAGGATTTATCCCCAGGAATATCTAGCTTGAAGTGTGGATTCATCAGACCTGACGGGCTTGATAGAAGGAGGGCTTCATGGCCAGGTACCAGGGTCACACGCTTTCCCCATTAGCTTTCTACACTATGGCTTACCACAGGGCTTGTGCACTCCTGGGCCCTCGGGCCAAAAGGTCCCCTTTCTGGGGCCCATAAGCTCATAATGACTTGGGCTTGCGTTGCTCGCGGCCAGGGATCAAAGCCTCACGCATGTGAAGTATGCACTCTGACACCCAGCTATATTCCTGACCCAGTTTTCAGACCTTAATATTTGCTGAAAACTCGGGAATAATCACTTGAGTGGCACATACAAGTGATAGGACGTTCCAGTTTTCACATCCTTGTGAAGTGCTGTGTGAGCTGTGATGCGTGTAAAAGGTACAGCTGAGACCACACGCCCACAGAACCCAGAGAGGCGACTCGCCCTTTCCAGAAGTCTGGCCCTGACCCTCAGCGGCTGGCTGGCTGCTGCACCTTGGGCCCATGGGTGCCCAAGTTTGAGGGCCACTTCTGCCTGCATCCTGGGAGTGGTTCCGCGCTTGCTGTCACGGGAGAGTGAGCTGGGGGGTGGCACGGTGCTCTGCATGCAGACCAGCCCGTTCAGGGCCATCTCCACTGGCATCAGGAGAAAGAAAGAAAACAGATCTTGGCGTTACTGTTTGCCAGAGCAAAGTAGGATTTTGTGTCCTTAAAGAGAGGGGCTCAGATTAGCCATAGTGACAGAAGATAGATGCCCCCAAAGGTGGTTTTTATGTTGCGTGTCTTTGTCTCATTTAAAATGTATGATGAGGAGCTGGCGTGTTGGTACAACTGGTTGGGCGCTTGCCTTGCATGCCAGCCCAGACTTGATCCCTGGCATCCCGAGCCAGGTCCCCCGAGCAGCGCCAGGAGTAATTGCCGAGTACAGAGCAATACCCCTGAGCATCACTGGGTGCGCCCCCCCCCCCCCCAAAAAAAAATCAAGCACTGTAGCACTGTCCTCCTGTTGTTCATTGATTTGCTCGAGTGGGCACCAGTAACGTCTCCATTGTGAGACTTGTTGTTACTGTTTTTGGCATATTGAATGTGCCACAGGGAGCTAGCCAGGCTCTGCCGTGCGGGCGGGATACTCTTGGTAGCTTGCCGGGCTCTCCGAGAGGGACGGAGGAATCAAACCTGGGTCGGTCGCATGCAAGGCAAATGCCCTACCCGCTGTGCTATCGCTCCAGGCAAAAAAATTAAATGTATGATAAATTGTGGTGGTGTTCATATATACAATTTCTTATGTGTGAATGATGGACCAAGTGAAGGTGCCGCTTACCCTTCCTTGACAGTACCATGAAAGCAGGCAACGTGCCTGTCTCCAAGGTCTTTGACGGGTGTTTAATGTTTGCCCGTGTGATGCTTCGTGCTCAGTAATGGTGGCTTTCATTTTAATAATGAGTACCAGGTACTTTGGAGCTCAGTGGGAGAGCACTTACCCTGCCTGTGTGGGGCCCTGGGTTTAAACTCCAGCACCACCACCCTCCCCCCAAAAAGGGAAAGGAAAATGCAGGATTACATTGGGTTTGTCCTTTCAGCCTTGCTGCAAGGAATTTAGTTTACCTTAAAGCAATGTCCTTTCTGTATGGACACAGGAAGACTTTTAATGTTATGCTTTGTAACTTGGAGTTGATTGACTCTGAATAATATTTACTCCTGGGCTTCTGCTTTCTTGACTCAGTTGCCCTTAGTTCCTTGCAGCCTAAGAGCGGGGTCCCGACAAGGGACTGAATGGACCCAGAGCAAGCTGTGAGCTACCCTGGCATCGAAATGGGCCGGGCCAAAGCGCCACAGTACTCAGCTGTAAACCAAGAGCATAGTCAAGGACAAACTCTGACATGACCCAAAAGAGGTAACTGGATAAGGACCCTGCTGGGGTTAGGAAAACTAACCTGGCCTGAGGACTGTGGTCTGGGATGTATAGCGAGATGTCCTCAGAAAGAACCAGACTTTAAGTCGATGTATCTCTTACTGTGCTCATACAGAATGACGTTGCTAGAAATAGTCGAAGTAGATTTACTACAACTAATTAAGTGGATTACTAGCTGAGGAAAGAAGAAAGCGACACACCCTGGATGGGATCCCCCCATTAAGTGGATCTCCTAGTAATCTGGAGTAATCTCCTTAGATGAGATTTTGTTAATCTCTTGGATGAGTGGCTTTACCCAACTCTGTTGATTTGTTAATGTTCAACCCACCTTTGTGTCCCCACCCTACGTGATCTCTATGCAAACTAAGACTAAGAGCAGAGGGGCAGAGTCAGAATCCAGAGCGAAGTGCTCCAGAGAGAGATCATAAGAGAGCAGAGGAGAGATTAGAGACAGGTTCAGATAGAGACAGACAGAGGAGAGCACAGCAGCACACACAGAGGCAGAGCACTCCCGATCTGTCCTTACACAGCCGCTCGAGAGCACTGAATGCGGGCGGTGAGAGAGTTGCCTGGAGAGCCCACCAACACATACATCACCGTCATCCCTTCCTTCCTCGCGTGTGAATGTTTTTTACAGGAAAATACTTCGAACAGTCCTTAGTTAAGAAAAAAATCAAGAGTATAGACCCTTAGGCCGGAGTGATGGTCCAGCAGCTGGGGTGCTTGCCTTGCTGGTGGCCAACCCGAGTTCAGTTCCCGCCTCCCGTATGGTCCGTGCGCTGCCGGGAGAGATTCCTGAGCCTTCTGATGTGTGGCTCCCAAACCAAAAATGAATAAAAATTTTAAGAACAGTGTCGGTCTTAAAACATTCCTGAGGAATACTCAGATTACGTTTACCCTGAGCCTGGTCGACTATGGAGGGCAGAGTCGTCACCCCATCTCTCTTCCCCCATCAGAATCCTCACCCCGTTGTTCTCCCCCCCCCCCCCGACCCCCAGAATCCTCGTCACCTGGTCATCTTCCTCCAGCCCACATCAGAGAGGACGTTGCAGAGCGATGGTAGGGGCTGAGGATGGAGCGTGAGTGAGGCTGGTTCGCGGCCGAAGTGGTTTTATGATCTGAACACAGCAGTGCTCGGGCCTGGGAACCGAACTGGGTCACTTCCAGGCACCGTCGGGACTAGAGTAGCTCTACCGGGTGTGGCCACAGAGACAACCGAACGGCCCAGAAATGACCCTTCAGGTGTTCCCCTCCCCCCGACTTCGCCGTCGAGATAGGCCATTTCTGTTGGGACACATTTCTGAGGTGACGCGGCGAGAGCCCAGCTCAGACGCTCGTGTCCTCTTCGCAATTGGGGCTGTGGGCAGAGAGTTTGCGTGAAGCCGCTTCTTTTCTACTCGGGGGAAGTTTCGGGTTGCTGCTTTGCAGATTGCTGTAGTGTCTCCACCAGGACCGTCTGACATCGCCTCAGAGGCCTGGTGGCAGCAACCCGAGGGCTGGAGTGGACAGTAAGGGGAGCGCCGTGCGCCGGCCTCTCCGCGGGGCAGCGCCCGTGGTTCCGTGACTAGCTCTGGGGAGTGAGAGGGAGGCGCGTGCTCTGCTCCGAGGGTCGAAGCCGGCGAGCGGCTGTGGTGTGTGATGCCGGGCTGGCCAACACGCTCCCCTTCCTTGTGGGCAGGCCAGGGTTCTCAAGAAACTTCCACGATTGCCTGTGCCCCCGGCACTCTGTTCCGCTGTCTCCTCCCACTCGACCCCGACTTGCCCACAGCTCTGGCTGGTCTTCTCCACTTCTCCGACCCGGCTGTCAGGGTGCCCTGGGCTACGACCTCGGGCCCTCTGCTCTGCACTTGCTGTCCAGTGAGTTGAGTCCCACTTTCCGTGGGCTGCCCACGCTGGGGCTTTTCTGCCTCGATGCCCTCCCCCTGCCGCCCGCCGCAGTCCCTTCCTCCACCTCTCATTGCTGCCTGGGTGGTGGAAGCCAGATCTTTTTTTTTTTTCTTTTTTAATTTTTATTAGTGAAACACCATGAGGTACAGTTGTAGACTTACAAATTTTTGTGCTTGGGTTTCAGTTATACAGTGATCACCAATATCCATCTCTCCACCATGCCCATTCTCCACCACCACGGATCCCAGTATCCCTTCCACCCTCCATCCCCCCCATCCCACCCTGCCTCTGTGGCAGGGCATCCCCTTTTGTTCTCTCTCTCCTATTGGGTGTTGTGGTTTGCAAAAGAGGCAATTAGTGGCCATCATGTTCGGTCTATAGTCTACTTTCAGCATGCTTCTCCCACCCTGGGAGGATCCTCCCAACACCCTTTATTTGGTGCTCCCTTCTCTGTCTGAGCTGCCTTTTCCCCTAGCATGTCCGACTGGCCTCCAAGCCATGGAGTAAGCCTCCTGGTACCTATCTCGGCCTTCCTTGGGTGTTAGTCTCCTATTTTGTTCCTTTATGTTCCCCAGGTGAATGCAGTCTTTCTATGTCTGTCCCTCTCTTTCTGACTCACTTCGCTTAGCACGATACTTTCCAGATCTTCTGTTCTGTTTTTGTTTGGGGGCCACACCTGGCTGTGCTCAGGGCTGACTTTTGGCTCCATTCTCAGGGGTCATTCCTGGGGGTGGGGGGCTGGGGGACCTTATGGGGTGCTAGGGATCGAACCCAGGTTGGCCACATCCAAGGCAAGTACCTCCCCGCTTCCTGTCCAGGTGTCTTCATCCAGAGCCTCTCAGTGCCCCCCTTCCCTCTGCCCGTCTTCCTTGTCTGCGTTGCCCCCTTCCTCTTCACGCCACGTTGGTCTGTGCCCTTGTCCCCAGTCTTACCATCTGACGTCAGGTGGGGCTGCTCTCCCGCTCGGGCCCCGGCCCCTCCGCCCTGAGACTGAGGCTCCACCATCCCTCAGCCCCCTCCGGCCTCCCCAGCCCCTCCTCCAGCACAGCTGACTGGCTTTCTGGCTGCTCCTTCCGCTCCTTCCGCTCCCTTCACGCGACGGGCATCCCCGGGGGCGTGTGCCTCTCCACCTGCCCGTGCCCACCCCACCCCCGTCCTTGGCGTTGACTCTCGTGACGTGCTCCAGAGGCGCAGTTGAGGCTCCCGGGCTGTCCGTCCGCGGCGTGCTCTGAGCGCAGCCCCTGCTCCCCGCTGGAGGGCAGGACCCCATCGGAGAGGGCCCATGGGAAGAATGCAGAGCGCACTCAACTCGGCGCCGATTTGGGGGTGACCGTAGGCCCTGCCGGCATCAGTTGTCCCTGAGCCCTCGTCCTGCGGGACATGGTCATCTGCCTCCTTCCTCCCTGGCGCCTGCGCTGACCTCTGCTTTTGCTTTCTCTCGGGCTGGGGACAGTGGGCAAGGGCGGTGAGTCCCCCTCCTTTGCCAGGGCAGATTCCTGCCAAGTGGAGCAGCCAGCCTGGATGTCGGGGTAGCTACCAGCAAGCTCGCGGGAGAGATCCACCCGTGTCGCTGTCAGGGGTCCAGATGGTTGCTCATTAAGATTCTGTTACTATGAATAGTTCTTTCCTCTTTTGTCTATATCTGTTTGAAGTCTGTCTCCAAATTCTGAATTAATTTTTCCGGAAGTTATTTGTGTCTAATTTCCTCTCCCCTCGGGTAAGGGAAAGGAGTTGTGTGACAAATGGCTTGGAAAGGGAAGCCGAGTGGGCAGGCGCCGCCTTCACCGCGAACATCTGCTCCGCGGCTGGTCTGTCGGTGGAGCTCGGCGTTTTCATGTGCTGGAGTTCTTAGCGCTCCAGTTAGCAATCATTCTCTGTTCTCTGACACCAGACTTCCTGTCAGTTACTGAAAAGTTTGCGCTTCGGAGAAATTCTAGACCTCCAATTTGATGTGATGTATTTCATTTCTCTGCAAGAGAAAGAACTCCCCACAGATGAGCCGTGTGCCATCCATGTACAGCCTGTGTATGAATCACCGTCTGGTTTCTGTTTCTCCGGAGAAGGTTCCAGGTTTACTCACCCTTGAGTTCGGTCAGCCAGTGCTGCGTATCGAAGTAGTGGAAGCCACCAGCCATAGGCTGGGATCTGATCCTTGTTCTGTGGGAGGGACTTGGCGTGATCCCTGGGGACTTGCTTAGTTCTGGTTTTCATTGTTCAAGCTGTAAGTGAAAGTGACTTTTTTTCCCCCGCTAACATTGTTTTCCCTTTCTTCCTATAGCTTTCACAAAACTGATCACAGTAAATGGACAAGAATATCATCTTCAACTTGTAGATACGGCTGGACAAGTAAGTGTAGAATCTAGAATCTCAGCTTCACTGCCTGGACCAACATCTGCTCCCTGCCACTCCCAGACAGCCACAGAGCCAGGAGACCCTGTGCTGGGGCGGGCGGGGAGCTGCTTGTCTCCCTCATGTCTAGGCAGCTCTTCAGAGAATTCTTGTTTTTCACTTGAAGATTAAGATCGATTTTTTTGCATTGTGCAGGTTCATTCTTTACAGGGTGGTGGTTTTCTGTCAAATGTCCGGTGTTTGCCTCTGTTGAGTGCCTTCTTCTGCCCCCAGTGATGGCTTGTCAGAGGGGCCCGGATTAGTGTGTCACCAATGGACTGTCCCCAGGGACCCTGGATGGGGGCACAGATGGGCAAGAGGGAGCGCACAGCTCGGGGCTGCGGCGTAAGCTACGGGATTGGGTTTTGGCCTTGCATCTGGACCACACACCAGAAGTGTGTTCTGGTCTGTGCTGCTGGGTACCTTTGATCTGGTGGGTTGATGGTGTGAAAGGTTCGGGCCAAGGAGCAGATTGCATGAGCCCTGGGGAGCCATCAGTGCTGGAAGTGTCTGTCAGTCAGTTGATGCGTTAGCCCTGAGGGGCCATGTTGCAGCCTGCAGGGGCAGACAGTGGCATTGTAAGAGCAGCCTTGCTGCTGGGCCCCGTTTGTAGACTGGGAGAGAGTGGGGATCAGTGACAGACGGTTTCTGGTGTACGCCTCTGCCATCTGTGTGGTGACTGCGAGTGAGGGGGCGCAGGCCATGTGGGGTCGGGAAAGGAGGACCCACTCTTGGGGGTGGCCTCCGCCACTTCCGGGCCTGTTGGCTTTGCCGCTTGGTTCTGACTGTTGGTGAGACTCACGGGGTGATGCTGTGGCGGGACAGCAGAGTACATGCCTTCATGGCCAGGCCGTCTCCAGTCACGCCCCTGGTCCGCGAGTGGGCGCACACTGGCCACCTGCCTCCCCAGCGTGGGACGGTGACGTGGAGCAGACTCCGAAGAGACGATGCGCTTCGGTTAGGTGTGGACTCTTGCCTGGCCCGGAGACTCCCACGCTTTAGCTGCAGCGGGGAGCAGGCTCGGTTCCACTGTCCTCTCCCGCCACTGGAACGCCCGGGGGTCTTCGTCTTCGTTCCTGGGGTTGCTCAGGAAATCCCACTTTTGAGCCTCACGAGTGGGTGCACGGTCCGGGTCCGGGTTTGGACTAAATCACCCCGCTCCCTCTCCTGCTGGCGGCAGTCCAGAGAGCAGGAAGTCATTGCCGGTGCTGTTTGGACTCCGTTGCCTCGGATAGAAGTTCAAGTACATACGTAGCCCGGCAGCACTTGCCATTGCCCAGGGACCTGAGACTCCTCGGCTTTCCTGCACGTGTAGGAAATGTGGCCTCTTCCCTCGTGGGCGCTCCTCTTTGCTTCCAGGCAGTTCCAAAGTCCAGGCCTTCAGATGACCTGTTGCTGAGCCGGGAGATAGAGCTGAGAGGGCTGGCCCGCGCTGGCCTTGGCCACCTCCAGGTGTGGTTGAATGTGTCCCCTGGACAGCATCAGGACTAACCTGGACCCCAGGGCACTCTTGGGAGCCCCCCACCCCACTCCCGCCCAGCCTGCTCTCCCGTGTAGCGCCCGTTCCCACAGCGACTTCAGCCCCAAACCAGTTTTAACTATTATGTGGACTTGTGTGTCTAGAATAACTTGAGAGCTACTTTTTGTTTGATTTCTTTGATGGGCTGTCATGTGGAGAACAGGGTACGAATTGTCTGTTACGCTCTACTTAAGTGTGATTCTTTTTCTTTGCAGGATGAATATTCTATCTTCCCTCAGACATACTCCATAGATATTAATGGTTATATTCTTGTGTACTCTGTTACATCCATCAAAAGGTAAGAGGGCCCCTCTGGCCCAGCTGACACGCACGGCGTGGAGCGCGTGAGTAGCCCTTGGGGTCGTGTTGGAATTCTCGGTGGGGCACTCCGGTTGATTCGGGGCTTCGTGTTCGGCGCCTGCAATGAGCCTGCCCTTGCCAGGGCAGGGGGTGGTCCCAGGCTCGTCGGCCGGCCCTGGGCTCAGACTGCCACTGGCTCGGGCTCCTTGGCCGCCAAGGGAGCGACCACACTGGCCTGGCATTGTGACTGGACTTCATAACACAGGCCGGGCCTATTGTCCCCTTCCTTGGAGTTTGGGGGATGAGACCCCTGAGCCATGGGGGTCCCGACCCCACAGCGGGGTCAGTCTTGCTGAGCAAGCCCACGCCTGCCCCCTCTTTCTCTGGGTGGCCTGGCAGTGCTGGACAGTGCCAAGGAAGGGCCCTGTGCACCCTCATGTCCACAGCATGGGGCTCCCCAGAGCTCGTGTATCTGCTCCCTACACTTAGGGCCATGGCGTGGAAGCCGCGTGGGGGCCGGACGCCCAGTGCTGTCCTGTCCCCTGTTGGGCTCAGAGCCAGTGAACCCTGGCATAGAGCGGGCTCTGGCCTGCTGCGCCACTTGCTGTGCGGGAGAGGAGCGGCCTGCACCGGTTCTGGGTGTGGAAGGTGGAGCCCACGGTCCTGGTGGAAGCGAAGGCAGGGCCAGGCCAGGGGCATCTCCGCCAGCCCCAGGTTCCCCGGGAGGTGGGGCTGCCCTGTGACCCCTCTGCACCAGATCGCTCTCAGGGTTGCTTGCGCCTGGCGGGTCCTGCCCTCCGGCGTGGCCCTCACGCGTGGTGTCTTGGGTTTCTGCTTTTGTTCTCCAGCTTCGAGGTGATCAAAGTCATCCACGGCAAACTGTTGGACATGGTGGGCAAAGTGCAGTAAGTGCCCGGCCAGCCCCTGTGCCCGCTCACCTGCGCCCGCGCCACTCACCTTCTCTCTCTCCCTTCCAGGATTCCCATCATGCTGGTCGGCAATAAGAAAGACCTGCACATGGAAAGGTGGGCCTTCGGGCTGGGGGGTTCTCTTTGGCGGGATCCCTTTGGCCAGAGCTGTTTGTGAGCTAAGACAGCGGCCGGGGGGCTTGGCACAGACCGCCTGCAGTGTCGCACGGGGCCGGGAGGCGGAGGGGCAGGGGCTCTTTGCGTGCTGGGGCTGTGATCCCGAGGCCTTGGGGACCCCGGCCCCTGAGGTCTGGCCGTTCACGGGCCTTTGCAGGCCCTGCGTCCCGACTGCTGGCAACCTCGCCCTGTGTTCATGAGTGTCCGGCCACCAGCGGCAAGGACTGTCTCGAATTCGCGGGGACGAGGGTCCCCACGGCCAGCAGCTCCACTCCCCCTTAGTGTTGCTGGTGCCGGGACATTCCCAAGTGAGGCTCCGTGGGGGTGGGGCCTGTGCTTCCGCACAATGGAGAAGAAAGAACTTGAAGTCTCGTTTGCTCGCTCTCAGGGTGATCAGCTATGAGGAAGGGAAAGCCTTGGCGGAGTCTTGGAACGCAGCATTTTTGGAATCTTCTGCTAAAGAAAACCAGGTACTGGGACCCTCCCCGCACTGTCCCTTGGGCCTGGCCTCTGGGGATCCTCAAAAGAAGCCGAGATGCTTTCTGTCTCTGGGAAGTAGCTACAGACCATTGGGGGGGGGGAGTACAGCAGGCCTGTGCCCCCGTTCCACCCGCGGCCTTCCCCTACAGGTAGCGGGGCCCTCGGGAATGTCGCAAGTGCCTGTCCATGACCCGCCTTAGTCCCTTTGGTCACCACCTTAGTCGCCCAGGTGTCCGCATGGGGAGTTTGTCTGGAGCAGCCCGGTCAGAAGCCCAGGCCACTTCTCATCCCAGCTCTGCACCCATCAGATAATGGGCTGAGTCACAAGGCACCTTCCTTGGCCCTAAGACGACCGGGTTGGGCCCACTCGGCACTGAAGTCCTAGGGAAGGTGCTTTTTCTGGGGAACTGGGTCTTACAAATACCACGAGTGTAGTACTCTTCTCCTTTCTGGAGGGAGGAATGTGGGCAATTGGGGGATCAGTGTGTATGCTGCACATTGGGGGGGGGGGAGAGAGAGAGAGTGTGTGTGTGTGTGTGTGTGTGTGTGTGTGTGTGTTCCGTCCCCATCCCCGTCCTGCGGGAGAGAAGGCAAGCACAGTCACTGGGAGGAGGGGGTGGGGGCCTGCTTGGACATAGCACAAGGACACTTTGCAGAGGTCAGTGATGGCCGAATCCAGCGGGCCCAGTCCTTCCCACCTTCATACTTGCAGAGCATGTGGAGATGTCAGGAGTCCCGGGGCTGGGGCCCAGCACACGGAAGGAGCCCCATGTTACTCCCAGGGGCGTTGCTGAGTCACTGGTACCGACGGGTGGACTCCCCGGGGCAGTCATTGGCCCTCTCAGCGACACTGTCGTGTCTGTGTCGCTGTCTTGAGGGCTCGCTTCTGCTCTTCCACATGGCTCTTTGCTCTGGCGACAGTCCGAGGACTCTCAACACTGTTCAGCGAGGCATCACCACCGTGTGCAGGCTTCGGAGGCGGGGATGCGCTCGCAGCCCCTCCCACACCCCGTGTGAGGGTGTCCGAGAGCACCTCATGGCCCTGAGGGGCCACCTGGGCTCGGCCCCCTGGGAGGCACGCTGCTGTCGGGTGCCAGATGAACTGTGTTGATGACTTCGAGTTAAAATGCCAGCAAATCCCCGCTGCTAGGCTCTCCTGGGTTGTGGGGAAGCTAGCCCTGGGCCGAGAGACTCACTGGACTGAGTGCGTGTCCTTCCAGCCCCGGCACTGCCAGGTGTGACCCAAGGACCGAACCCAAAATTGCTCCTTGAGGACCAGGGCTTCTAGCACAGAGGCAGGGCATTTGCCTTGGTTTGATCCCCAACATCCCCTGTGGTCCCGGAGCACCACCACGCGTGGCCCTACAGTTAGAAAGCTCACCCGGCAGGAGACGAACTCCCTGAGCTAAGAGTCCTGTGCCCGCCCCCAGAGCCAGGCCGGGCCCCGTTCGAGAGCGCGGTACTGGCCCTTCGTCCTCTCTGGCTTTGCTCACGGCCCTGCTCCTGGTCTGGGGGCCACACCCAGCGGTGCTCAGGTGAGCTCCGGGCCGTGCAGAACAGCGCCCTGCCCTGTCCCTCGGGTCCCTCCCTGGGTCTGGAGAGTGCCCTGGGCCCGGCGTCTACCCATCTTGGCGTGGCAGGGAGGGGGCAGGCGCAGGAGCCCGGCAGTGGCCAAACACAGCTGGCAAGGACTCACAGGGTTCTCTGGGAGTCAGGCCCACCTTCGCAGCCCGGTCTCTCCCCCGCACTGCTGGCGTGGCCAAAGAAAAGTTCGCTGTGCGGGATTTTTGCACACATCCTTTGGGGATGGAACCAGCATTCGTTGCGTGGTGCTGGGAGAAGAGTCGGACGGAGACAGGGGAGCTGCCGAGGCCAGTGACTCCGGGAGACGGGCGGGGGGTGCGGGGATCGGCGTGGCGTGGGTGGAGGAAGAGATGCCCGAGTCGGGTTCGAGGGCGCCGCGGGGGTGGCACTCCAGGAGCTGCTCAGGGCCACTGGGCGGTCAGGGTGACACTGGCGTGGGGTGTGGGCGGGCAGTGGCCCCCCCGGCTTCAGCACAGAAGCACCCCCTCACCAGTCCTACCGAGGAGTCCCCCTGAGACTGTTGGAGAAGTTGGGGGCCGCAGCCCCTCACGGGGAGCCGGGAGCCCTCGGGCCGCCCTGCTGAGCGGGCGTGTGCTGCTTTCAGACCGCAGTGGACGTGTTCCGGAGGATCATTCTGGAAGCGGAGAAGATCGATGGGGCTGCTTCCCAAGGCAAGTCGTCCTGTTCCGTGATGTGAGGCGGGCCCGGCTGCCCTCCCCCTCCGAGGCCGAGGAGCCGATCGAGTCTGCTTTGCCCATCCCCGAGCCGTCTCGTTGGGCCGGACCTTCTCCGCCCTCCCGTCAGATCATGTTCGGCTCTGACTGTCCGAATGAGTTCACTTCCATTTTCAAATTTTAAGCAATCATATTTTCAATTTATATATTGTATTTCTTAATAATATTATGACCAAGAATTTTATCAGCATTAATTTTTCAGTGTAGTTTGTTGTTTAAAATAATGTAATCATCAAGATGATCCCTGTTGTCACACTACTAGTATCTAGGCTTCAGCTCTGTTCTTTCCTCTGTTCATGTACACTTGTAAATAAAATAGCTGCCAACCTCTTTCAGTGTCCGGGGGCGGGAGGGGACCACACAGGGCTCCGAGTGACTCCTTTGTGCCCTCCCCTGGCCCCAGGATGAGGGGACACTGCCTGCAGGCTTCCGGGGAAGCGGCCTGCATTCTGCGATGGCCGGGACTTGAGTGTGAGGGGCCGGTCCCTCCACGCAGGCCACTTCCATGCTGTAGTTCCTCGGGGCTCCTCGCCTCCCTGGCGCCCCCACCTCAGCCTGGATTTACAGGGGAGGAGGGTCCCGGTCGCACAGGGACTGAAGGGTCAGTCGTGGCTTGGGACTGTTCCAAGGGCTGGTGTTCCCTGAGAAAGAAGGGCTCCTCCTCGCCCCCCCCCACCCTCCCCCCCGTTTCTGGCCAAGGAAACAACATCAGGTGTTCTGTTGGTAAGGGTCAGGACTGTCCCTCCTGCATCAGCGTCCCAAAGTGAGGACCTCGTCCCCCGGGAGGGTTTCCTGGGTGCCGAGTGATTGGGTGAGCCAGACAAGCTCCAAGGCACCGAAGCCCAGGGCAGTTCCTCGGCTGGGCCGGCCTCCACTTGGTTATTAGCTGTGTCTCCTGGGGAAGGGCGCAGGCCCCCGGGACCGTCCCCTCATGTTAGCAGCACAGGCCAGGCCACGGTGACCGAGGCGGGGCTTGACCAAAACCACTGGTGCTCTGAGCTCCTTCCTTCCTCCACAGGGACCCCTTTCCCACGCCGTCTTCCTTGAGCAGCTCTCACGGCCCGCCCGTGTTCCAGAAAAGCCCACAAGTGGCCACTTCCCTCATCTGGTGGCTCCAGCCCACCACCCTTGGCTGTCATGGGGCTTCTGGAACATGCTCACGCCACAAGGAAGATCCATGATTTCCTCATGAACCTGGTTCTCCCCAGACCTTAGTGGAGGGAACCCTACAAGATTCCATTAGTGAAAATGGGGTGCCAGCCATCCTTTTTCCTGGAAGTCTCCTGACCCCACTCCGTTCCAAACCCAGCTTGAGGCCTCAGGTGCTTCTGGGTCCTGAGAAAACTGACGATCGTATTCTCAGCATTTCCCGAACCCGCCACCCTCCCACACGCAGCTCCTGCCCTCCCGTCGCCACTCACGCAGTTGTGATCCCGTGTCACTTTAGGACACAGTATGTCCCACCCAGCACCCCAACGTGGGACTTGGTGCCTCCGTGCCTGGAGCCTAATGGCCACATTTTTAACAGCTGAGAAGACATTTCTGCTATCGGGAGCCGTAGCACTGGGGTACAGCGTTTGCCTGGCACGCAGCGACACCCAGCTCAATTCTGGGACCCTGGATGAACCCCCAAGCCCACCCAGGGCAGCACTGAGCTCAAAGCCAGGCGTGCCCTTCCAACAGAAGGGCGCTTAGTGCTGCAATATCGGGATAGTAAAGGTAAAAGCCCTCCCGTTGATCGTCGATTTGCTCAAGCGGGCCCAGTAACGTCTCCATTGGAGACTTTGTTGTTACTGTGTCTGGCATATCGAATACTCTCGGTAGCTTGCCAGGCTCTCTGAGAGGGGCGGAGGAATCGAACTCGGTTCGGCCATGTTGGCCACTTGTAAGGCAAACGCTGTGCTATCGCTCCAATATCGGAAAACTGCGGTGAAATTTTCGCGCCAGACAGGCTGGGGAGGGGGCAGTGGGGCTCTGCGGGGACCCCCGAGGGCACAGGTGTGATGGGAAGCCCTGATCCCCCCCAGGGCCACTGAGCCCCTCGGGTGGGGGAGTCGACCTGTGCCCCTCAAAGCTCCTGGGTGGCCTGGGAGAATAAGCGTTTCTGTGGGCCTGCGCCCACACTTTCACGCCCCGCTGAACGGCACGGCGAGGACTGGGCCGAGCTCCCCCAAGGGGGGATCAGGGCACCACGCTGGGCACCACGCTGGGCCCCGGTGGAGGGGCGGCTGGAATGGGGCTTCAGCGAGGGCCTGAGGCCCAGGCATGCCGCTGTCTTGTAGGTGGTCAGACACGTGGTCGACCCGTGCCGGGAGTGGGCCCAGTTCCCCAAGAACAGCCAGGCCGTGGGCTCCCCCAGGAGCCGTTTGTCGGCCCTTGTCGGCCATGGCAGCCCCAGCTGGCCCTGTCTGTCTGCATGGGCTCAGCGGGAAGCCAGATGCCTGCCGAGACTCTCCCGAGAACATTCCAGAACATCCTGCCTCCTTCGCCTCCCCACCAAAGGAACATTTGACAGGATGCCACAAAGGCTGAGAAGTTACCCCAAGAAGAGCTGGGCAGGTCGCCATGGGTCAGCTGGATGCCCGCTCAGTCTCCGGAGGCCTCAGCGGCTCGCCCGGCTCAGCCCAGGGGGCACAGCCTGAAGCCCCCACCCAGCCAGCTCTGGGGACACTGCAAGTGCTGTGACAGCCCTGTGGCTTGTCACCATGTGAGGAACTCGAGCTGGTGTCAGTCCCAGGAGTGCACGGCCGTGTCTGGGACCCCCAACTCCCGCCCCAGCCACACCTCCGAAGGCCAGAGGCACTGAGAACACCTGGGATCCGCCTCCTGCTGCCCGCCGTGGCCTGCCCTGGGCTGCAGCCGCTGCTCTTTACTCTGGACACGGCCTCGGCCAAGACGTTTCTCAAGACACCACAGTCTCGGGCCTGAAGACCTTCCACCCAGTACTGCCTCTGCCCAGGGCAGCCCGGGCGGACCAACGCACTGGGCCTCTCCTGCACCGAGTGACCCCCCACTTGGGGAAGCCACCTGCATGTAGCGACGGGCTCCCCTGCGGTTCCCCGGGCTCATCGTGCCCAGCTTGAGGGAGGATCAGCCCGGAGCTTCTCACCCAGCAGGCTGGAGCCTGGCTCCCAGTTTCTAACGGCTCTGAAGACCCTGGACTTTGGCAGGGAACCCCAGGAGCCAGGGGACTCCGCGATCGTGAATGCAGGGCTGGAGTGCAGGGGCCATCCGCCCCCTTTGTGGGCCTGCCACATGGTGTGGGGGTCAGAGGGTGCCGGTTCTGGGGGGCTCGGCCTTGTTCGGAGGTGTCCAGCCTGGGACCAGCCCAGCTGAGGTATACACGGGGACAGGGACAGCACTGGAGGGAGGCCACAGCCCGGCTCACTGAGCCTGCCCGAGGAGCCACCCGCCAGAGATGTTCTGGGCTTGGCGCTGTGTTGGTGGCCGTCTGGGAAGGTGGGACTTGAGCTGCTGTGACGACAACGCAGCCTCAGCACCCGGGAACAGCCACACTGAAGCCTGGGCACCGGCAAACAAGGCCTAGCTCGGACCCTTCTGCCGAGACCTGCCGTGCTGGCCTGAGGGACCGGGTTCTGACGGGGTGTCTGAGTGAATGCTTCGTGCCCCAGACCCCACCTACCGGGAAAGGGGGATTTGCGTTCTGTCCACACAAGAAAAACCCAGCCATGCCCCACCAACTGTCAGGCCCTGGGCAAGTGGGGACCAGGCTGCGTCCTGTATGTGATTTTTTTTGGGTTTTTTTTTGTTTTTTGGTGGGATTTTTGATTTTTTTTTTTTTTTATGCTTTTTGGATCACACCAGTCATACTCGGGGGTTCCTCCTTGCTCTGCACTTAGGAATTACTCCTGGCAGTGCTCCAGGTACCATATGGGGTGCCGGGGATTGAACCTGGGTCAGCCGCGTGCAGGGCAAACATCCTATCCACTGTGCTATTGCTCCAACCCCCGTATGTGATTTCTGACAAGGCTACAAGGACTCCTGGGGCCACCTCAGGAAGCTGCAGCCTCTAAAATGAAATGTGTGCTGGGGGTCCATGGGGCCTGGTTCCGGGTTTACCTTTGTCCATCTGCAAAACAACGCTTCAGATCGGCTTCCACCGCATCCAGCTCCAGTAAGGTTTCAGATGCAGAAGTTACAATGCCTGATTTTTAGCCAAAACTGTTGTTGGAAGTCTGAGGTGGCTTCGCCGGCACACAGGTTCCTAGGACAGTGGCCCCGGGACCTGTCCAGGGGGCGGCTTTTAAGAGCCTGCAGTTAAGTCAGCGCTGTGAGGCGCCGCCTAGAGTCTGAGCGAGGCAGCGCATCTGCCCGTTTCTTCCTCATTGATTTACACGTTTATTATGATTTGGGGAGGCCACAGCGGGGTTCCCCCAGGTTTAGGGCTTGGTTTGCCCCCAGCTGTACTCCTGGGACCAAACGGTGCTGGGATTCGAACCCGGGCCCCCCGCATGCAGCCTGACTGCTCCCAGGTGTGGGCATGTCTGTGGGAAGTGGTGTGTGCAGGTGTTTGAGGGCCCGGGGTCCCTCTTGGCCTTGTGCAGTTCAGGTCGTTGCCTTCCTGGGTCCAGGAGCTTCCAGTAAGTGAAGAGGGAGTGAGCGGGGCCCCTGCCAGGTGAGGGTAAGCCTGGAACTTTCCTGGCCCTTCCTGCACCCAGGCCCAGCTGGTGTCTGGTGGCTCCCTGGGAATTACCACACTCTTCCTGCACGGGACCGAAGCAGCTCCTTCCCCAGTCCTCCCGGGAGTGATCCCTGAGCATCACAGGGTATGCCCAAACCCCCCCCCCAAAAAAAAATTAGTTTTCAACTCAGTACTTTTGTTTGGGGCCACACCCAGCAAATCTCAGGGGCTACTCCTGGCTCTGCACTCTGATGGTGCTCGGGGGGCCGTACAGGGTGCTGAGGATCGAACCCGGGTCAACTGCGTGCAAGGCAAGCCCCCTCCCCCACTGTGCTATCAGTCCAACCCCTTAACTCGCTTCTCAATGATTCCTCATTAATTCATAAATTAGCATATTTCCAGTCTCCCAGAATTGCAACTAACTCTTTTGTTGGCTGCTCTGGAATACCCTTTCTGTATAGGTTGAAGTTGTCAGACTTCATTAAGAATACTTTAGTAATTGATTTAGCTTTGGGCCCACACCCGGTGGTGCTCAGGGCTTGCTCCTGGCTCTGCACTCAGGAATTGCTGCTGGTGGGACCCAGGGGAGCCAGGCATGGAGTCACGTGCAAGGCAGATGCCCTCCCTTCTGGACTAGCTCTCTGCCATTCCCCCCACTTTTTTTTTTCCAGTTGCTTCTGATGGTGAC